GTACCACACAGGAGGTCTTCCAGATCTGTGGTACCGACCTCAGGCGGAGGCTCATGTTGAAGACGTGCCCCATAACTCTGCACAGTTCGTCTGCACAGGAGCTGAGGAGCCTGGCGCTCACATGGTCTGGTCCCGCCGCCTTCCTGGTCTTGATTTTCTTCATCACACCTCTCACTTGAGCAGGTGTGAAAGAAAGGGGAGGGCTGGGGGGCTGGGTGAGTCTCTGGCCCTGTTAATACTGAGACGCTGCGCAGACGTTTCCAGGCTATTAACAGAAACGACCAGACTCCTAATGCAAATTTCTCTGCGTTCACACGAGGTTGAAAAACGATGAGCTGGGGGGGGAATTCGAATGTAATTCTTAAATTAAAATATATATATATAAATATATATTCGAACAAGTTAAGTGTTATAACTCGGCCAAACGAGGTCGTAGAGCGATGATAGAGGTATCGTTGGAAAGCCCTTCATGTGACGAGTCACATATATGAGCTGCAGAAAGGTCAGCCAAAATTCAGAATTCATTCACCGATTGTAGGGCCGTTTAAAAAGATACAAAGTTATTAGTATTTTCCCAGGTATCGCACCGACACAGGCTATGACCTGTCCAAATTGTAGAACTCTAGCAGCAACTTTGCGCAAAACTTGGGAATAAGAACTTGCCCTTCATTGAGCGTGTCCAGCTGGTGTCAGAGAGACCGCTGTGTGACTGGCGTCTCTCTAAAGTGTTGTGAAAAAAAGTAGTAGTGGTAGAGCAGTGCCACTCCTACCACTGGTTTGGGTTGGCAGGAGACCCAAAAACCCATTAAGTTAGCATTAGCATTAGCATCACCATTGACATCACCATTAACATTAGCATTAGCATTAGCATCACCATTGTTATCACCATTGACATCACCATTAACATTAGCTTTAACATAACAATTAACGTTAGCATTGGCATCACCATTAGCATCACCAGTAGACCAATAGTAGTAGTAGTAGCATCAGTAGCAGTAATAGTAGTAGTAGTAGTAGTAGTGTAGAAGTAGTAATAGTAGCATTAGCGGGGACATTAGCATTGTTAGCATCTTTAGCGGTAGTATTGACTAAGATATAAAGGTGGAAGCTCCCTTATACTTCCAGATTTCACTTCCGGAATGTACTTCCAACTTGCAAAAATCAAGGGTATACTACCCCTGGTGGACATCAAAAGTTGGAAGTAGAATCTGGAAGTTGGAAGCAGAATCTGGAAGTTCAACTTCCAGATTTCTGTTTAAGAGATGAAAATCCGGAAGCAAAATCTGGAAGTGAGCGATTTCAATGCAAAGTCAATGGGAAATTCCTAACCCTAACCTAGGGCTGGGCGATTAATCGATTTTAATCATTAATTCAAGTTTTACGTTTAGGGCGATTTCTTTTTTTAAAAATTCGATTTTTATTTTCTCCAGCGCAGAACTACAGCGCTAACGCGCTAACCGAGGGTCTATGGTGTTGAGCAGTCATTTTGAAGCTAACCTAATGCTAACAGTCTCCCTCTGGCCTGATGCTCGCTCTCACAGTTGGTGCTGTTGCAATAACACTTCAAACGTTCAAGAATCAGACTTTATTTAATCGCCAAAACACACACACACAGGCTCCGGTCGTACGCCACATCTTTCACGCTCTCTCACGCTCGTTATTCCAAAGCGCACTCCCGTGTCCGTGGCGCGCACACACTCGTGTCCCACTGAGCCGCTGCACTTTGGGGAAAGACACGTCTCACACATTGCTCTCATTGCTCTGATACAAACAACGTGTTCCCCGCTGTCTGCTAGCTACAGTAGCTGCTAGCTACAGTAGCTGCTAGCTACAGCATCAGAATGTAAACAGGAAGCTCGCACAATGCGGGAGTCACTGAAGTTAGTATTAGCGCCACCAGCTGGACCGAGCGTTGTACTACAGCACAGTTACTCAGGCACAGTTGAAAGAACAAGCATGAAAACCCGAGGAGGCTTTTGGAAAAGACTGTCTGTTACAACATTTCTATTTTGAGTAATCAGTTTTAAAAATGTGATATTTCATGTAAATAATGCATGTGTTTAATAGGATTGATATATTTGCGATGGGCCTTGTTTGTGTGATTTAAGTTATTTTGAAGGTGCATAGTGTCATTGTAAGTGAAGTTATTATAAAACTGTTAAGCTACATTTTCACTGTTTACAATGGCAGAGCCATCTCGTTTACAAGCATGTTTTAAGGCTTAATTCCTGTTACACTTATGCTCCATGGGGATTTAGATTAAACTGCATAAAGGAAAATCTATTTCTTTGTCAGTTGTAGTTTGTTTTTAAATAGAAAAAAATAAATCGATTAAAATCGAAAATCGGATTTGGTGTGAAAAAATCGGAGATTTTTTTTTTTTGCCATATCGCCCAGCCCTACCCTAACCCTAACCCCTAACCCTAACCCTAGCCTGATCAGGGAAGCCAAAAAGACATTTCCAAATGCCAACATCAGAGTGCCTCTGATCCAGACCTCAAGAGAGCTCGCCCCAAAGGAGCACTCTAAAAAACGATTCAGGGGGTTAGTATTTTCAACTCAAAATACATACTGAACTAAACTCAATAATCTATTTTTGCCAGTTTTACTTAAATAAGTGTGGTTACAACTCATTTTAAACATGTCCGTTTCACTTAAAAGTTAATGCAAGAATCCGAACTCATTTATTATAACAAATTTGAACGTAATATTCTGGCATAACTGGACAACTAAGAGTTTTTGAGTTTGCTCAACTTGAAATCTGGCGTGACGTCATATACGGACTGGAGGAGGAGGAGCTGCGGTCGCACTGCTTTTGAGACGAGGTAAGAAGGGCTGATAGCCTAACTATTTTGTTTCATCTTGTTTAAATTCCCGTCTTGAATGCAGCGTACTATGTGCACATTGACAGATTATTGTATTGACCCATTGTACCTTTTGTTAAGTTTCTGTTTCTCACTGGTTTCTGTCACGGCAGCAGACAGCATTCCGTTCGGCTCTGCGCTTTTCCCCTGGGCTGCTCCTGTGGATGTCCCTGGTCTGATCTTTCTCTCACGGATTGGAAACAGTTCTCAGCGAGCAGCGGCTGTTTTGGGCGCTTTGGAGGCATGGCCGAGGCGGCATGTGAGGGCAATGGCATGTCAGATGAGCGGATCGGCGAGGCTGTGATCAAAGAAGTGTTCGAGGAGGAGCTGAAGGACGTGCCCTCGGAGGATTTCCCGCCGCTCACCCCTCTGACCTCAGAGCTCCATTCGGCTCAGGAGCAGAAGATTGTGACGGAACTGGCCAAGATGATCCGCATCGTCGGGGACAGCGTCAGGGACAACCGGCAGCTGGATGATGCTATTGATGGGATGAGGCGCACTCCTGGCTCCAAGTGGGACATGTTCAAAAAGGTGGCAGACAATGTTTTTCAGGATGGCATCACCTGGGAGCGCATTGCCGTGCTCTTATACGTGGCGGGACGGCTGGCTGTCAAGCTTGTGGAGGCCCATCTTCCTCAGAGCGTGCGGGAGATCCTGCAGTGGACCGTGGACTTGTTCAGGACCAACTTGCTGGGCTGGATCCGGGAGCACGGAGGATGGATCAGCAGCTTCCCGGCGCTGGCGTCCGCCTCCATGCGCTCCGTGGGCTGGGGGCAGCTCTACGGTGTCCTGATCTTCATTGCCGGTCTGGCTCTGGGCAGTCTGTTCACTGCCAAACTGCTGTCCCGGACTTGACCCCTGACCCCAGTGTCACGGCCCCTCCCTGCCTGACAGGGGCGTTTCCCTCTCAGGCAGGGTGGATCCAGTGATTGGGGCACCTGTGCTTAAATGTGTGTGTGTCACTAACACTCTGTCTCTGCTCTGCTCCCTCCAGGTACGGGATCGTTGGTTCTTTGTTTCGTCATTCGTTATTTGTTAATATTAGCTTTGGTTTCACACTCAGACATACGCACACATACACTGGTTTTCATTCACTGACTTGCACACACTGCCCACATTCCACTGCTCACATACTCACACCTCATTCTTGTTGATTATTATCCTTTGTTCGTCGTTTTCATTATTCACAATAAATATGTCAAATGACCCTACCTGTCTGTCCCTCATTTTGACACAAGCATAGAGCCAGCTTGTGACAAGCTAGCATAAAGAGTCCCCACGGTACAAGACGAAAGTCAGGTCCGGACTAGTGCTCTTTCCCTCAACTAAATATAATATTAGCGAAACTCTGTCGCGTTGTTGCGTTTACATTCCACCCTTGGCTGGCTAGAGAATTGCACTGCATGAAAAGTTAGATTTTCGTCACCCTAAACGGCAGGAAATCACGCTCTTTTTCGGGTATCTCAGGCAGTTTTCAAAAGGCGCAGTTAGGGTGCCCTGTCCTCCAAACTGCCGTATCCGTACCATGCTAATGTCCCTACTTTGCATATGAATGCAGCGAAACACTGCGGCCGCCGAGCGCTAATGGCCCTAATTAGCATATGAATGCAGCGGCTGGCCAGGCTGCTATTCAGCATTGGTGAATACCACTACTTTCAAACTCGTGATTGGCTGAAAAATCACACGTGGCCAGCCCACGTGGGATTACTCCCCATTGGTAGCTTACTGCCCATTGTATGAAGCTTACTCCCCATTGGATGAAATCACTACTTTCAAATAAGTATAATCTCTCGGGATTGGCTGGCAGATCTGTCACTATTGGTCACCCTGCCTCATAATTAATTAAATAATATTCATATAAATATATATTTATTCATATTATTTATAGAGGAAATGAAAATTTTCCAGGAATATGTTCATACAAAGAAAGCTTTATTAAAACACACACACACAGCTTTATGCTCACACATAGGTAATTAAAAAATTACAACTCTGAACTGTCCAATAGCCTCCTCGGGGTTGTAATTTGGCAGCGTTCTAGAGAGACGCTTAATGTGCGTGGCTCTGTACTTCCGTTAGACATTAGGTCTACCGTGGCGGACTTCCAGAGTTCCACTTTGTCACTTTCTAGCACAATCAGTCTCGATTCCAGCGGCTGAAAGAATCAGTAAATATTATTAGCCACATCAAATCTTTTTTCCCATCTAAACATTTCCAGGATCAAAAACATAGTGTCTAAAGCAGACCTGGAGATTCTTATCCATGCATTTGTCTCCAGTAGGTTAGACTACTGCCACAACAGCTGCAGTACATTCAAAATGCAGCAGCTCAAGTCCTGACCAGAACCAGGAAGTACGATGGCAAGGCAAGTTTATTTGTCTAGCACAATTCATACACAAGGCAACTCGAAGTGCTGAGCAAAATAAGAAAGCATTAAAATAAATAATCACAGAACATTAAAAAGAAAGATAAAAATATAAAATCCCTCAGTTGTAGCACAGCTAAACAGAACTGTTTTTAACCTGGTTTTAAACATTGTCAGAGAGGAGGCCTGTCTCACTTTAGCTGTGCTACAACTGAGGAATTTTATATTTATCTTTGTTAATGTACTGTGATTATTTAATGCTTTCTTTTGTTCAGCACTTTGAGTTTCCTTGTGTATGAATTCGGGCGTTCTGCTCTCCCAAAATTCCATCCGATGGGCGGGGGAGCGACTGAATTTTGCGTTGCATTATGGGTAACACTTGCCTTCGCAACTTCCGGTTCTCTCTGCCCGGCGCATTTTCTCTAAATGGTTGAGTGTTTTCGTCATTTTCTGTATGCAAATACATTCCCGTCTCTAACTAGTGGCATATCGCGCAAATCATCCGTCCAATTCACATTCTTCCCTCTTAGCTGAACTTCATTCTCATTGTTACCATCTGTCACTCGCACACACAGCCGTTTTCGTCCACTCTGCTCGCTGTCATCTTCTTCTAAATCTTCATAAACACCATCCGCTCGTTGAACTAGCAACAACAATTCCTCCTTTCGTTTTCCCACACTGCAAATACCCTTTCGCTTCAACCTTTCACGCAATTCAGGCACTGTCAATCGTTTGTTGTTTTCGTGAGCCATATTCGCCATTGTATGAAATCAACCGGAAGTGAACTGGGCAACAAACGGTGTCATTTTTTGATCACAGCGCCGCTCAGTGGATGAAATTTTGGGAGAGCAGAACGCCCGAATTGTGCTACACAAATAAACCTCCCTTGCCTTACTGTGCGATGCAGTTTAGTCTTACCCTCTTCTCGCTCGACTCTGAGCTGAACTCTTCGCCACATCCGCCCTCAATGAGTTTTCTGGCTTGACATTTTGATGGCTCCTGCGAACCGTCTCATAATAAGTCTTACAGGCCGCTAGAAAACAATCAAAAGAGTGATATGAATAAAAATCAAACGCAAGTCACAGTAACGTCACACAAGGAAGAAACAGTAAAACACTTACACACAATGTCGTCTTTATCAACATGGTGGAAATGTGGACTTGCAGATACTGTGTTAAGCAAATAGGAGGTCACCGTCTCATTACGAGGCTTGATTAGTCTGAAAACAAAGTGTACAGTTATGATTGGTATCTATACATATCCATTACCGACACAAAACATGTGTAGATAAACCAAATTCAATTTCCATGGATACATTAACAATACTTACATAACCTTTTTGAGAAAATGGATCCTTCAATGAAGAAAAAAGTGTGATAATTCTAAGAGCATAGCTTTCTTTTTGTTTTCGGGAAGGCATTTGTCTAAGGAAAGAAAAACAGTCATGGTCAAGGGACTTGATGGTTACATAAAAAGGCTAAATTAATAGTCTCTACAAGTACATATTTTCACGGGGACCTAACCAAGAGATAATCTACAGAACATCTACCTCGGTCATTTATAAAAGAGATAAGTACTATTTATCTTACAATGGGGAATCAATAACAGTGCTGAGAGAAACTGAATTGTTATGTGATTATTGTGAAAGGTCTTTCAAGTGATTTTCATTTTATTTTGAGTAAATATCCTTCCACTTGTAAGAAGGAACTTTTGAGTAATAACTGAGGGATACAACATACCCATGTGTTTCACTCATGTCACTGACGAGAAGGTCGACAAGTTGTCTTCGAGAGCGGTGACTTAGTGATCTCACAGAATTATAATCTTTAAGGATCTCTCGGTCACCAGGGTTTTCCTGCAGTTCCACCATCTACAAACACGTGAAAAATGTAAAATGACAATCTACAATTGTACCAAAAATCTTATGATACAAAATGCAGCAGGACCTCTTTAGCTGTGTCCTTCTCACACATGTCCTGATTGTATCTCCTTGTAACTGCCACAGAGGACTCTCCTTCAGAATTACCTGTATATTTTACATAATACAACTGTATTTAAACAGGTTTTTTTCTGTATATTTACCAAAACCACCCCGTTATTAAAACTAGTTTTTACAGTAAAAAGTACATGTTTACTACGCTTTTTATACATAATCACCTAATTATTAAAACGATCTTTTTCAGCTAAATGTACAGGTTTACTATGCTTTTTATAAGTTACCACCTTGTTATTAAACAATCTTTTTCAGTACAGTTTACAAGTTTAATGTTTTGTATGTACTTTGACATTTCCCTGAAAAATATTGCACTTTCAACATTGCTTAACTAAAAGCTGCATTAAATGAGTCATTTCACAAAATAAATGAAAATGAAACTTTACTGTATATTCAGTGACAACACTACAGTGCCAAAAGTCAATAATAAGACCGTTTTAAACAAATGTCAAAATATTTCACTGTAAAACACTAATGTCAAATAAAATATTCTCAAATATGCTTATCTTCATCCAAAAATAATTAAAACAAAAGACTTTTTTGGCTTGTATGATGCAATCTGATCCAAGCCATTACGCAAGCCATTTAGAATTTAAACTAAGTTGATTTTTTATGCAGATAAAAAGGAGGACCCATGTTGTGTGGCCGAATAATATAAGGGGCACTTGTATCGCGTACAACTCCTAAAGACTTCTCTCCCGCCCACTTCAGTCAATAAACTATAGAAATAAAAAAACAGCGTGACTAGCTCAGACTGGGGTCAAGCAGTTATTCATTTCCATTTTTTCCTTTTATTGATTGAAGTATTGAAGCATGAGAGAAGTCTTTGAAGCATTGTGTGTGGAAGTACTCCTCGTATTATTCCGCCTCACAACATAAGTTATTTTTATTCCGCTTAGAAAATCAATATGTTTAAATTCTGTGTAACTACACTTCACGTCACTGAATTTAAAAATAGAATAAACATGGCAGAGCTCGCTAGCTTCAAATGTCTCAGATGTGACACAAAGAGCAAAAGGTACACATCAGCTGGGCTAACCTAAGGTAAGAACATTTCAGTAAGGAAAAACTTAACTATTCCTTTAACAGAAAATACATGTGGGTTTAAGCTTAATTTAAAAGCTGAAGAACAAATTTGAAACATTGAACGTCACAACAATATAAAACTCCATCGCAGCCCACAAACCTTACTAATTTCAGTCCATATTCAGACATTACACCACTCATGATCTGACAGTTCTTGAATCAAGGTAAGGACTCTGGGGTTCACATTAAGACGTTTGGTTTTGCTTTTCTCCGCTTTGGTTCCCTTCTCTGGGTTGATGGAGAAAAAAAAACACCTGAAATATATTTAAAAAAAAATTACATTTAAAATACAAATGTGCTGCAATACAAACTGCTTAGCTCTGCATCACAGTGGTGCAGAGCTAAGCAGTCAAACACAGGTCATGGGTTAAAGGAATAGGCCACCGTGTTTACATACTGACATATGTTCTTACCTTAGACTGATATGTACCTGTGTGGTCTGTGTCCGTGTGCTCTGTCATGCAAACGGAGCACAGCAGCCTCTTCCACAGAGTGTATAGTAACAAATCAGCTCCCGTTAGAAGCTACCAAACTCTTCCACGTGTTCCCTATTTAAATAAAGTTACATGACGTGTTACACTACCAAGTACAGTAACACAGAAATGTAACATGTCCATTTTCTCAGTGGATAAAAAGGGGCACTATATTGTGAGGCGTAATAATACGAGGAGAACAATGAGCGCTACGTCCACGCACTAACTCCCAAGACTTCTCTCCCGCTCACGCTGCTATTGACGGAAGTGAGCGGGAGAGAAGTCTTGGGAGTTAGTGCATGGACGTAGTGCTCCTCGTATTATTACTATACTTGGTAGTGTAACACGTCACGTAACTGTATTTAAATAGGGAACACGTGGAGGAGTTTGGGAGCTTCTAACGGGAGCTGATTTGGAACTATACAGTGGAAGAGGCTGTGTTTGTGCTCAGTTTGCATCACAGAGCATATGTCAGTGTGTAAAAACCGTGGCCTATTCCTTAAAGTCCCAGCTGCTTACATGTTTCCTCCCACATTACAAAATGAACACATGTAGGATTCACTGAATACTTATGGAGGTCCTCTAACTACAGCCCATGTGTCTGAATCAAGTGTTGATCTTGTGGATCAACACTTGTGCTGCATTTTCTCCAGTTTGATTTTACCCAAATGTAATACCTTCTGGGGAAAAAAGAACAGCAACAAAAACTGAAAAAAGATACATGTTTCTATTATGTTGAGCTTTTGTGGATTTCTTTGTTGTGCCTTTATCCAATTTTAGATTTGGGTAAAACCAAACTGGAGAAAATGTAGTTTGATCAGGTGGGGGTTAAGAGGTTAATATACAAAAAGGCATATACCTCTGCAGAAACTCCAGAGTTGAGGCCAGTTGTATTGGATAATGGATGTTTAAGCAATAATAACTCCCAAACATCATGGAAATGGCCGACACAAAGGAGCCAACGTTGTCCTGGACAATCATACGATCCACACTCAGCATAAACCGGTTTGCAGATTAACAGGATTGTCCTTCAAGGAGAAACAAAACGAGTCAAATACAAGTAAAATGACATTTCACCAGGCAGAGCATTAACTCCTTAGCATCAATATAGAAATGGGTTCAAAGAATGGACAAATTAAAGCAAAAGAATTCTCACCACACACACAATGAGGTAGGAGTCATGGGAACTTCTCCTGCCAGGCATGACTCTCTCTCCTCCAAGTAGGACAGCAGAAGCACCCTGTCTTTTGTGTTCTTCTGGTTAGCACGTTTGGCTAAACACGTGCCAAACGTATGGTTCTGAAAATAACCGGATATCAGCTTAATTGTTTTATGAGATGTTTATGCCAGAATGGCAAGATTTTGTCTACGTGTGAAATGCAACACCGTAAATGCAGTCCAGTTTCATGTCACACAATGGTGAAATGCTCGATGCTAACTAGCGTTAGCTCTTCTAGCTAGCCACGGCTAGGCAGCACGATACTGAAACTAGCTGCAGGACAACGGACACATTTCAGAAAAACTAAATGTCCTTCTTCTGTTCTGTATCAAGATAAATTATCTTACCCGTGTTATCGGCTTCTCGAACGAATGCTTCTGTTCTTCACCAACGCACACTCACGCTCTCCGTCCAGTGTGAAAGTTGCACACGGCTCTGACCTGGGACTGACGTACACAGCGTCACACTGACCCTGGGACTGACGTACACAGCGTCACGCTGACCCTGGGACTGACGTACACAGCGTCACGCTGACCCTGGGACTGACGTACACAGCGTCACGCTGACCCTGGGACTGACGTACACAGCGTCACGCTGACCCTGGGACTGACGTACACAGCGTCACGCTGACCCTGGGACTGACGTACACAGCGTCACACTGACCCTGGGACTGACGTACACAGCGTCACACTGACCCTGGGACTGACGTACACAGCGTCACGCTGACCCTGGGACTGACGTACACAGCGTCACACTGACCCTGGGACTGACGTACACAGCGTCACACTGACCCTGGGACTGACGTACACAGCGTCACACTGACCCTGGGACTGACGTACACAGCGTCACGCTGACCCTGGGACTGACGTACACAGCGTCACACTGACCCTGGGACTGACGTACACAGCGTCACGCTGACCCTGGGACTGACGTACACAGCGTCACGCTGACCCTGGGACTGACGTACACAGCGTCACACTGACCCTGGGACTGACGTACACAGCGTCACACTGACCCTGGGACTGACGTACACAGCGTCACGCTGACCCTGGGACTGACGTACACAGCGTCACACTGACCCTGGGACTGACGTGCACAGCCTCACACTGACCCTGGGACTGACGTACACAGCGTCACGCTGACCCTGGGACTGACGTACACAGCGTCACACTGACCCTGGGACTGACGTACACAGCGTCACGCTGACCCTGGGACTGACGTACACAGCGTCACACTGACCCTGGGACTGACGTACACAGCGTCACGCTGACCCTGGGACTGACGTACACAGCGTCACGCTGACCCTGGGACTGACGTACACAGCGTCACACTGACCCTGGGACCTGACGTACACAGCGTCACACTGACCCTGGGACTGACGCATACACAGCGTCACGCTGACCCTGGGACTGACGTACACAGCGTCACACTGACCCTGGGACTGACGTACACAGCGTCACGCTGACCCTGGGACTGACGTACACAGCGTCACACTGACCCTGGGACTGACGTACACAGCGTCACACTGACCCTGGGACTGACGTACACAGCGTCACTCTGACCCTGGGACTGACGTACACAGCGTTGACTCCGCATGTGTCTAAACTCTCACGATAGCTGATTATCGGAAAATAAAACGTCTTCTACAAATCAAGGAGTCCAGTCTGAAAATAATATACAGATTTATATTTTGCATGGAAAATTATTGTTGTTGCACGCGTAAATACACTATTAATTAATTACTCCCCTTCCCAAAGTTACAAAAGCTTAATTTGGTTAAAAGATTAAACAGATTATTTAAATGTATTTATTTTAGTCATTTAAACTCAGAAAAGAAACACAAGAAGCACTCTACACACATGGAGAAATTTATTTAAAAACCAAACGTTGTTCTTGTTGGTGTTAATGTAGTGATTAATAATAATGAACATTTTAATTGCAGTTTCAGTCTTCTTCTCCTTCTTCACTATATCACACATTTACTCATACATTGAGTTTGTACCAATTTTTTGTGGAATGGGTTATGATTAATGACAAACAGGAGTAATGGTTAACTAATAAGTTAATTACTTGTAAACATTAGTTTCAAGTATTTTAATTTCTTTAGTAATAGACTCTTGATGTACATTTGACTGTATTTGCTTGTTTTTTGTTTTGCAGTTTTTCTGTGTTGAAACTACAAAGAAATGTTATAATTTTAACATACATTTTCTCTAAAAGTAACTATCTTGGATAGTAAAACTTCCAACTGAACATTACTGTTAATTAAACTGAGTTTGAGGGTTTTTCAACTTAGTTTTTTTCAGTCAACATTTTACGGACATTTTTTACAGTGTGTAAAGAGAGCATGGATCTAGAGAGTGATGATAACACCAACAGCCGTTTGTGTGTATGTATATGTTTATATATATGTTTATATATATATATATATATATATATATAAACATATATATAAACTACTTTGAACCGAGAATATAACACATATTTTCAGTTGATTACCTTTTCTTTTAGGTATGTACATAATTCAGTTTTGATGCCTTCAGTGTGAATCTTCATAGTCATGAAAAAAAATAAAAAATCCAAACTTTTGGTCTGTACTGTACATACATATATCCTTTGGTCTGTACTGTACATACATATATCCCTGTACTGATGAGCACTTACACTTTCACTGAAAGTAATTGTGCTGCATGGATCAAGTTGTGCTCCCCCTCAACCCTGATTAGCATTTGTATAGCTCAGAGCATTCCCATTTACATGTTAAAGCCTCCTGTGGAGGAGGGAGGAGGGGACAACAAACTACCGTCAACAGCCGAATCCCAGAAGTTTCATAGTAATATACAGGGCCAAAAAGAGACAAAAATCACACTTTTCATGCAGTGGTTCACACGAGGTTGAAAAACGATGAGCTGGGGGGGGGAATTCGAATGTAAATTAAAATATATAAATATATTCGAACAAATATTAGACAGCCCTTATAATTCGAAATGTATTTAAAGACTGCAAATAAAATAGTTAGCTCCCAAAGGTTTCACCGGGACGTGCTAGGCAGGTAACAGCTAAGCTAGCTAGTCAAAAACTCTCTGGAACGACATGAAAATAAGAATTCTGAACATCAGCGGTGAGTTACCCATTTATATACCGAACCTATATCCGTAATCAGATCCTCTTCAAATGTGTCCTAAAATGCTCATTTCATGTTAATGGTTTCTCATCACGATCGCTTTTTGTCACATTAAAACAGTATTTTTGTCATGAAAACTTTAACAACAAATTCTGAACACTTCCGTGCATGTGTGTTAGGGATGTGTATGTATACTGTATTCTCCGATTAACATCTACATCTGTTGATTGACCGACTGGTATTTGTTTATTGTGTGTGGCTAGCTCCGCTAGCTTCTCTGCACAGACAGAAGTAGTGACAGGCGCTGAAAGCTCGTCAAACAGTAATGTTATTATTTTACACACCTGAATTACAAACAGAGAGTGCGTTGCCAAAGGGCAGAGATCATTATTGGTTTGAGAGTTCTGTTATCAAGAAAAAATTATTGGTAGAACATTTTGAAATTACATTCAAGTCAATGGAGTGTTCTACTGCTGCTGTGAGGAGCTGTGTAATAAATTATAATTAAATATTTTAATATACTCTAATGTTTAAATTAATACATTCGGACGTGAAACTAGCAGTAATCTTTCAGTTATATATTTTGTTAGCAGTGTGTTGCTTTTGTACCATTTCATCAGTGATTGTTGTACAGCTAACAGGAAGTTGCGCTCATGCTAATGTTAGCATAAAGATTGCAAATAAAACCAGATGGCTCCGTGGGAGGAGAGCGTGGGTAAATGAGAAGCCTGAGAGCGAGTTGGGGCGGTGCTAAACATCCAAACCTCTGCAGAAACGGGTTTTATCTGGCCATTATCAGCATAAAAATGTTATATCTGTTCATATCGGTATCGGATTTTTGTTGCCTTAAAATCGATAAACTAATGCTTGCGTGTGCCTGTGCGCTCCTGAAGCATTTACCGGCGCACAGATGATGACCTCATCAAGCTGCGTCTTGAAGCGTACAAACAAGCCATGGATCTTTTAGAAACAAGCGCGTATGGCTGCAGTAACAAACGTACTTGTTATTTTGCACAGACATTTGGCCTCTCTCTTCCAAGACGACAGAGCAACAACGCTTTAAACAGGACGCGAGAGGAGATGGTCACATCAGCGGTGAAATAAGTACAGGTGTAAAACATGCATTGGGCCAAAAACTGGCTATTTATTTATTTTTATTCATCGACTGTTTAAAATCGACAACACAACAGATGTATCTGCATTTTGTTGGTGACTGCACCATGTGCTCAACTTAACCTAGCATAATGACCCGTTCAAAGTCCACCCATCGTGTCAAGTTGATAACAGACTAAATCAACATGTAACTTATCCATATTAACCAAAACTTCTCTAAATTAGGAAAATGAAACAGCACCGTTCAAACCATAGATTGTAAATATAATGAAACACAAAGTAGTGAATTACCTCAGAAGTGAAGACGTGTGCAGGTAGCTATCGTGGCTACAGGCTACAGCAGCGATGGCAGTAAACAACCATAGAAGGAGGAGGTGCAGAAGCAGCGTAACTTCGTCACCACGGACCATGAAGCCCTGCGGCTGCCTGATCACTGCCCGACGTGCAACAGCTGACGCATGCGCAAATCATTCAGTGACTCCGAGTCTCCGCCCAGAAAGCCTTTTGTTCTCAATTTTCTTGTGGGCAAGACCACTCTCGGCCATCTTGGATAGCTCCATGAGAGCACTATTTTTGGCCCACTCCTTTGAACGGCAGGTTGAACAGGTTTTAAAGACAAGCGCACAACATGCAGTAGTTCTGTGCGTGTATGGTCTGACCGCGGCGCCATTCGCTCACAGCCGCTAACAACAACCAGAGCGGTCGCAGCTGCCCACGGTGTGTGCCCCGGGAGGCGGACTTCAGTTCACAGCAAACAACAGCCCCGCGGTCACGCGCTTATTCTTTTAACAATATTTACCTCCACCATGTTTTTTTAATTGTATTCATAGGCTTAGAATTGCTTATAAGTGTCCATGAGAGAGGAGGACTATCCGTGTAAATGCACCATCTTGAAAACCGGTGGTGGATAAGGACAAAAAGCGAGAAACGCGTTTTCGTTTCACATAAGCTCCTGATATTGATTTCACCGTGACCTCACAGTTTGGAAGAAGGAACCATGGAGGACCACAGTTATATAAAAGAACCACAGAGGACCACAGTTATATAAAAGAACCATGGAGGACCACAGTTATATAAAAGAACCACAGAGGACCACAGTTATATAAAAGAACCACAGAGGACCACAGTTATATAAAAGAACCACGGAGGACCACAGTGATATAAAAGAACCACGGAGGACCACAGTTATATAAAAGAACCATGGAGGACCACAGTTATATAAAAGAACCATGTAGGACCACAGTTATATAAAAGAACCATGGAGGACCACAGTTATATAAAAGAACCACAGAGGACCACAGTTATATAAAAGAACCATGGAGGACCACAGTTATATAAAAGAACCATGGAGGACCACAGTTATATAAAAGAACCACAGAGGACCACAGTTATATAAAAGAACCACAGTTATATAAAAGAACCACAGAGGACCACAGTTATATAAAAGAACCATGGAGGACCACAGTTATATAAAAGAACCACAGAGGACCACAGTTATATAAAAGAACCACAGAGGACCACAGTTATATAAAAGAACCACAGAGGACCACAGTTATGGAAAAGAACGATCGGAACAACAATCTTTTAGATAAATAATTATGTAGAAGTCCGTTGTCATGAGGACTTCCGGTTTGGCCATGTGATGGGTTAGTCGCATTTTTCAGCGCTCCCCGAACTTACTACTTCTACTGATTTTTAACTCATTTTTCACTTACAGCGAGTAACCCAGCAATAACCTGCTTTTATTTAGAGCAGAATCATGCCTCCGAAAACGAAGAAAGATGAACAAGACCGCGGAGAAGCAGCTAATGTCACCGCATTTACAGCCGTGCTAACAGCTAAGCTAGCGGAATCTAAAAGTGAACTTCTGGCTGAGATTAAAGACACCTACGCGAGATATGAGGCAAAGCTTACTGGCCTCCAGAACTCCGTTGAAGACCATGACCAACGTATCACTAGTCTGGAGCAATTTGCTAACTCCACCAGTGACGAGTTAACTGATGTGCCGACTGAGCTAGCGGCGGTGGCCTCAGAAAATGCTAAGCTAAAGGCTAGGCTGATAGATCTTTCTGGACGAACCCGCCGTAATAATATAAGAATTGTGGGTCTGCCGGAACAAATTGAAAATCAGACGAGACCAACAGAGTTCTTTTCCCAGCTACTGTGTGATGTGCTTGGTGCGGACATTTTGTCATCACCCCCGAGGCTGGACAGGGCCCACCGCGCACAGCCTGCTAGGCTAGCATCCACGGGTAGGCCTCGGCATGTTGTGATCTGTTTTCATCATTTCCAAACTCGGGAGCTGGTTGTGCGGGCTGCCCGACAGCTACGGGGCGGACTGAAATATAAAGATACACCTATCCACATCTTTGAGGACTACGTTCCGGAGGTTTTGGAGCAGCGCGCTCAGTACCGGGACGTGATGGAGAGGCTCTTCGAGTTAGGCTACAAGCCCGCACTGAGGTACCCTGCCAAGTTGTCTGTTGTGCTACACGATGGATCAAGAAAACTTCTTCCCACCGTAAAAGAAGCTGCTGACTTTGCGTCTCGTCATCGCCGACGGGATGACCCAGAGGTGAATCCGCATTTTGGTCACGCAGTATGTTCCTGTTTGAAGTGTTTCTTCTGTATGCTTTAAAAAAGGTTATTAGGTTGTATAAGTATGTTTAAATGTTAAATGAGTCCAATTTATAGTGTTATTTTGAGTGAAGTATGTCTTTACTTTTGTCCTTTTTATATTTGTATCTACTTTCTATATAAATACATTTGTATATTGTATGCTAGAATTTCAGACATTTTTCTACTTTTTTGTAATTATTTTATATACATTTTAATTTATTTTCACCTAATCTTTGCAACAATCTCTTGAAACTCATTTTATTTCAATTTCATAGATTTATTACTTTAAGTAAATTTTATTTATTTACTACAGTTTTTATTTGCCTTTATTCAATTCATTTAGTAATTATTTTTATTTTATTTTGTTTAACTTAATTTTTTCATTTTCTCTATTACGGTGCTCCTTTTTATTGTTATTGGGTTGTTTTGGTAGCACTGGCTGTGACAACGAAGGTTTGAATTTATATAGTCTGAATGCCTTAAACGTGGTTGGGGGGTAATATTTATTTTTTGGATTGTGCCGAAGTTGGAAGTTTTCAAGGTGTGTTTGACACCACTGTGCAATGGACACTGGATTCTCACGTATGTATGGGATATTTTAGGCCATGGGGTTTATTATTTTTATTTCCCCCTTTTTTTTTTTTTTTTTTTTTTCATTTATTTATTTATTTTTCTTCTTGTTTCCTCTCTTTTTCCTACTTATGTCTTTTCAGGTGCCTGCTACTCCACGCTTGGTCCCACTGGGTACAGGTTGGAAGCCTGTGTAACATTTCCATATTCTCCAGAATATATGAAACATGACAACAAATGCAAGTACCACACTTAGACTCGTTTCTTGGAATGTGAAGGGGATGGGTAATCCTATTAAACTGCAACGTGTTATGACTCATTTGAACCAACTTAAAGGGGATATTTATTTCATCCAGGAGACCCATATGCTCAACAGTCATATCAAAAAGATTAGGAAACAGTGGACCGGAGACATTTTCCACTCAACATTCAATGGGAAGGCCAGAGGCACTGCCATAATTTTTCGTAAAGGCCTTCCTTTCATATCAGAGAAATCAGTGCTAGATCCTAATGGTAGATATGTCATGGTTTCTGGGAGGCTTCGAGAAATGCCATTTCTTTTTGTTTGTGTCTATGGCCCGAATTGGGACGACAGTCAGTTTATATAGTAAGTAAGTACGTTTTTATTTATATACCGCCTTTTCACTGCAGATCTGAGTCTCAAAGCGGTTTACAATTGTTAATTTTGGGCATTTGTCTCTCACTCCACACAGAGATGGGAGCGGGGCCAGTACAGGAGGCGCATGCCAGAACTATTGGACATATTTTTAGTGGTAGGGGAAACCGGAGCACCCGGAGGAAACCTACGCAGACACGGGGAGAACATGCAAACTCCACTCAGAAAGGCCCTGGTCCGACCGGGATTCGAACCCAGGACCTTCTTGCTGAGAGGCGAGAGTGCTATCCACTCAGCCACCGTGCCGCCGTATCTAAACTTTTTTCTTCTTTTCCGGATGTCGAAAATCACTACATAGTTATTGCAGGGGATTACAACCTGGTCCAAGACCCTTTCTTGGACCGTTCCTCTAACAAACCTGTTCCTCTTATGAAGGCAGCAAAAAACTTTACTTGCTTGTTCTCAGAGACTTGGTCTGATTGATCCTTGGAGACATAAATTTCCTTCTACCAAAGCTTTCTCTTTTTTCTCACATGTTCACCACTCTTATTCCCGGATAGATTTCTTCCTTATGGACCTTAGACTAATTCCAAATTTAGCTTCCACTGATTACCACACCATTGCAATATCAGATCATGCACCAGTCTCCCTTGATTTGGCACTACCCTATCGGTCAAGTCCAAGCAGGCAGTGGAGATTCAACTCTGTTCTTCTGGCCGAGGATGGCTATCAAGATTTTATACGCACCCAAATCTCCTTATTTTTTGAATTAAACGATGTGCATGGTATTGGTAGGAGTAGCCTTTGGGAGGCTTCTAAAGCCTACATGAGAGGCCAACTTATTTCTTATGTTTCTAATAGGAAAAGAACTGAAACTGCCCGCTTCAATGAGCTTTTGAAGGAAATCAAAGAAGTGGATGTACAGTACGCTGCCAAACTTCCACTACTTCTGTTAGAGCTTCCTTGCTTAAATCAAGGCAGATTTTTTATGAATCGGGAGACAAGGCTGGCAAGCTTCTTTCATATCAGGCTCGGGCTGAGGCATCGTCTAGACCAGGGGTTCCCAAAGTTTTTAGCCCGCGACCCCCATCATAAATGCCCTGCTAACCCGCGATCCCCCCCCCCCCCCCCCCCCCCCAACAGCCCTTCCGTCACATGAAATGATCATGTATTTCCTTGATACGGAGTAACTCTTTCTAGAGACTCACGCCACTACCGAGCTGCACTGTCCAGCCCAAAAAAGGAGGCTTGCATATTTTTACTCATGTAGTGACACAGTGATGGGCTTGGTGGGCTCTCTCCTCAGCAGAAGTGGAGCGCATTTCTTGCAGCTCGGCCTCACTGTTCTCCTTCGCAGTAAAGTGGGCCGGCTTTCCGGAGTCAGCGGTAAAGAGGTCCGCACATTAAAAGCGGGCGGCCGCTTTCTGCTGTTACTTTATGCGATTCATCCCCGCGGCTTCTCTTTCCGAAGTTACTGTCAGTAAAGGCATAAACCGGCCACCCGCTTTTAATGTGCGGACCTCTTTACCTTTGACTCCGAAAAGCCGGGCCTCTTTAACGCGCTGTTCTACCGCTGTCCTCCCTCCGCCCTCTCTCCCTCCGCTGCCCTCTCTCCCTCCGCTGCCCTCTCTCCCTCCTCTGCCCTCTCTCCCCCTCTCCCTCCTCTGCCCTCTCCCTCTCTCCTCTCCCCTCTGCCTCTCTCCCTCCTCTGCCCTCTCTCCCTCCTCTGCCCCTCTCCCTCCTCTGCCCCTCCTCTCCCTCTCTCTCCTCTCTCCCTCTGCCCCTCCTCTCTCCCTCCCTGCCTCTCTCTCTCCTCTCCCTCTCTGCCTCTCTCCCTCCTCTCTCTCCTCCTCTGCCCTCTCCTCCCTCCTCTCCCCTCCCCTCCCTCCGCTGCCTCCCTCTCTCCTCTCCCTGCCTCTCCCTCCTCTGCCCTCTCTCCCTCCGCTGCCCCTCTCCCCTCTCTCTCTCCTCTCTCCCCCTCCTCCTCTGCCTCCTCCTCTCTCCTCCCTCTCTCCTCCCTCTCCTCCTCCTCTCTCCTCCTCCGCTGCCCCCTCTCTCCCTCTCTTCGCACCATCAGCCTGACCCCTGATACAAGTGACTTTTCTCCCCCTCCGGGTTTTTCTGTTGTGGATATTAACCACGTTTCATTTTTAAAGCAGGTATTATTTATTTGTAGCCTCCAAACACCTTTAGTTTTAGCAAACAACAGCAGGACACGCTTTGCCGCTGCGCATGATGTGAGCTGTGTTACGTGATGATTTTGATTGACGCTGCAATGACTGGGACAAAATTACTAACGTTATTAAAATATATTATAGTCTCCAAACACAATTTAACAAGTAGTCCTTTTGAATCAAATCAAACGCTAAATAAATATTTAATGGCTTTATATTTTCTCCAAAAAAATAATCATTTTTTTTTTGGGTGTGTGGAAATCATCTTGCGCCCCCAGGGGTTCCCGCGACCCCCCGGGGGGTCGGGACCCCCACTTTGGGAACCACTGGTCTAGACTTATACCAGCAATTGAGTCCAGCTCTGGCGAAACTACCACTGACCCAAAGGGCATTAACGATGCCTTTGTTGAGTTTTACACTTCTCTATATACATCTGACTTTCCACCTTCTCCTGATGATATATTAGATAAACTCGACTTTCCTTACATTAATGAAGAATTAGCAGATCGACTTGGCGCCCCAATTACTACATTAGAGGTCCAGGAGGCCATAGGTTGTCTCCAGGGGGCCAAATCCCCTGGGCCCGACGGGTATACCACTGAATATTATAAAGCTTTCTCAACTTTGCTAAGCCCCTTTCTTACTGAGATGTACAACGAGGCTTTTTCTCTTGGCCGGCTTCCTTGTACCCTGTCTGAGGCTGTGATTTCCTTGCTTCTTAAGAAGGATAAAGATCCTTTATTATGTAGCAGCTACAGACCCATTTCCTTGTTGAACGTGGATTTCAAAATCTTAACTAAAGTTTTGGCATTACGTTTACAACAGATACTACCCTCGATTATCGATTTGGATCAAACAGGTTTCATGCCCGGGAGGCAGTCCTCATGCAACACTAGGAGGCTTTTCAATATCATTACCTCCCCTAGTGCTACAGTTCCTGAAGTCGTTGTGTCCCTCGACGCAGAGAAAGCCTTCGACAGGGTTGAATGGAGTTTTTTGTACAGGGTATTGACAAAGTTTGGACTTGGCAGGGCCTTTGTTGACTGGGTGACACTTTTGTACTCTTCACCTAAAGCTTCAGTACGGACAAATGATATTATTTCTTCTTCCTTTCCTTTGAGCCGTGGTACCAGACAGGGCTGTCCCCTTTCTCCGCTTCTGTTTATTTTAGTGATAGAGCCCCTAGCCCTCTGGCTGCGTGCAGAGGCTTCTTTTAAAGGTATAACAAGATTTGGTATAGTCAACAAGGTTTCGCTATACGCGGATGACCTTTTGTTATATGTTTCGGACCCTATTTCTTCTTTTCCCTCTATCCTAAATGTTCTTAATGAGTTTGGCACCATGTCTGGATATAAACTTAATTACCAAAAGAGTGAGCTTTTGCCCATTAATGACGCCGCTAAAAAGCTGCCTTCTTCAATAGTACCGTTCCGTTGGGCTAATGATGGTTTCCGCTACTTAGGTATTCAAATTGTGCTGTCTCTTTCTGATTTGTTTCGAGTAAACTTTACCCCTTTGATGGAGAAGATGGAAGCTGACTTTGCTCGATGGTCAACTTTACCTATCTCGCTCGCTGGCCGAATAAGTTTAGTGAAGATGGTGGTTCTTCCCAAATTTCTTTATATGTTTAAACACCTTCCAATTTTTCTCAATAAGTCGTTTTTTGTCAAATTAGACACTGTGATTTCAAACTTTTTATGGGCTGGGAAACCTGCTAGAATTCGTAGGTCGGTTTTACAGTCTCCCAAAGAGAAAGGAGGATTTGCCCTCCCAGTTTTTAGATATTATTACTGGGCTGCAAATGCGCAAAAAATGTTGTTTTGGATGAAGGAGGACGACTCTTTGCCAGTCTGGGTACAGTTGGAGAAGAAATCCTGTCAGTTTTCACTTCGTTCAGTCTTGTGCTCACAACTTCCCCTTCAATGTTTAATTACTTGCCCTGTTGCATCCACTTCTTTGAAAATATGGAATCAATTAAGGAAACAGATTGGCCTCTCAAATCCATCCGCCCTGACATCAGTGTTTAAAAACTGTACTTTTGCACCATCCCAAGATTTAGCCTATAAGATCTGGCATGATAGTGGAATCAAGTCGATGGCAGATCTCTATACCGAAAACATTTTTTCTTCTTTTGAACAGTTGTCAGTTAAATTCCATCTTCCAAACCACAATTTTTTCCGTTTCTTTCAAGTCCGTGACTATGTTAAGAAGGTGTTCCCTTACTTTCCGAATCGCCCTCCAGAAACCTTATTAGACTCTCTTTTCGTAACTGACCCTAGTCTTAGAGGATGTATTTCGATACTTTACAAGCTTATTTGGTCAGAAACTTCAACACCCACAAATGCAGTTAAAACAGCTTGGGAGGAGAGTCTTAACATTGTATTCACAGAGCAACAATGGACATCTGCACTGGCTTTAGTTTATTAATCTTCCATCTGTGCTCGTCATAGGCTAATTCAATGCAAAGTTGTTTACAGGGCTCATTACACCAATTCCCGACTTGCAAAGATCTATCCTTCAGTAAGTGATACCTGTGGCAGATGTAAACTTTCGCCTGCTAATCATTCACATATGTTCTGGTCGTGTCCGGAGCTGAATCTATTTTGGACAGGGATTTTTAAGTCACTGACTGACTCCTATGGTTCTCGGGTTGTTCCCAATCCGATGTCTGCAATCTTTGGTATCCCCCCTGCCTCAAACCTGCCTAAAGGAATGAAGCGGGCCATAGCGTTTACCACACTATTAGCTCGTAGGTTGATCCTACTTAACTGGAAAGATTCTCATCCTCCTTCACATGCCCGCTGGATACGAGAGGTGCTTTACAACCTTAACTCTTTCCCCCATAATGACGTTATTTGACGCCCCCCCCGGTACCCTTAATGACGTGTTTTGACACCTCCGCTATATCAATAAAGACGCTATTTGACGACCCTATGGAAAGGCTGCGGTTTTCCCCTAGTAACAGAGCTGTGATTGGTGGGGGCTACCAGAGCCCATACTAGTCTGACCAATAGGATTAAAGGAAGCTTTTTCTCCGAAATTTGCCGAAGTAGTGACAGCTCTAGCTTCGGGAACCGAGCTGTCAGCGGGACTTTAAAGATGGCAGCGGGAGAAAGTTTTCGAGTGACTGAGGCGCGGCAATTTTTAGAGGATTACTTTGGAGAAAGTGACTCTGGCTCCGAGTTTCATGGATTTTCGAGTGGTGATGACTTGGATGACCCGGATTACATTGTGGAAAACAGTGACAGCGACGCGAGTGAAATTGACGAGGAGGAGAATCTGCGAGACGGAGTCCCGTCATATGTGAGCAAACTATTGGGGACTTTACTCTGGATTGTGGACCAAAATTGCCACGAAATATGGATGTTTCTGAGGCTAGTCCCTTGAAATACTTCAGTCTTTTCTTCCCGGATGAGATGTTTGATAAACTTGCCACAGAAACTAACGCTTACGCGGCGCTATGTGCGAGAGAGAGTGGCGCTGACAAGCACTGGATGCCGACTGATGGGGAAGAAATCAGAGCGTTTTTTGGATTGGCAATACTCATGGGTGCAAATCCCATGCATGAATACGCGGACTATTGGTGTGGAGATCCATTCCTCGGTGTCAGCGGGTTTCAGCGCGTGATGACCGTGAACAGGTACGAGAAACTGTCTCAGTACTTGCACTGTAATCACGCGGCAGCGCGTATTGGTCGAAACCATCCTGATTACCATCCCATCGCAAAAGTGGCTCCTGTAGTGGACATGGCACGTGAGAAATTCAAAATGTACTACAAGCATGATCGTGACATCTCCATTGATGAAGCTATGAAGGGCTTCAAAGGAAGAACAGAGCTACGCATGTACATGCCCCAAAAGCCAGAGAAATTTGGCATAAAGTTTTGGGCAAGGTGTGATGGCCGGACAGCTTACATGTCTGACTTTATATTCAGGCAAGCGTGATCAGACCCCTCTTCAGCAGCGTCATGGACTAGGATACAGAGTAATTCACGAAATGACACGGGACTTAATTGGCCTAAATCACTGTGTTTACTTTGACCGTTTTTTCTCTTCCGTTTCATTGCTGGAGCATCTCCTGTCAGACCACATATATGCTTGTGGGACAATGTTGACAACAAGAAAATATTCCCCACCTGCTCTGAAACAGAAGAAGCAGCTAAAAAAAAAGCTGCCAAAGAGAGGTGACACCATGACCTTTCAAAGAAACAATGTCACCGTGACAGCTTGGAATGACAACAGCATTGTAATTGTTGCTCACAGTTGCCTTGCTCATCCAAGTGAAATGGTTACCTGTGAACGGCAGGTGGGCAGACAGAAATTAACTGTGCCACAACCCCAGGCTATCAACAGGTACAACCAACACATGAATGGTGTTGATGTTCATGATCAGCTGAGGAAAAAGTATGCAGCATCACGTGCCAGCAAAAAGTACTGGAAGTACATATTATGGTTTGTGGTTGACTGCTGCCGTGTAAATGCCTGGATTCTTTACAAGCTGGCATCGACCAGGCAAATGGGAAGGAAGAAGCGCTATGCCCAGAAGGACTTCATCTTGGAGCTGGGAAAAGAGTTGATCAATGAATTCTCCAGCAGAAAGAGAGCTGCCATTCATGAGTGTGGATCTCCTCCATTCATCGATACGCATAAACGCAAGATGATGCACTCCTTTGACCGACTACCAGGAAAACACCGCAGGTGTAAAAGCTGCTACAAAAAGGAACGTCGCCATGAAACTGTATATGGGTGTTCAACATGTAATACACACATGTGCAATGACTGTTTCCGGGAGTTGCATCCACCTGAGGACTGAGTCACACCAGGTTCAGATCTGAAAATCTGGCTTTTCAGACTATTCAGTTGTTATTATATTTTTATTATATTCCAAAAAGACAATCACTTCAGAGTTCCTTTATGAGTTGAAAATTTAATGTGTTGAATAAGCTAAATGTAATGAGTTGAATAAGCTAAATGTTATGAGTTGAATAAGCTAAATGTAAAAAAACGAGTCAGGTACACACAGGTGTATAACAGGTAGAAACAGGTATACACTTGCTCACACTGTATCTGGTAATATGAAGCCTGTCTCAATACTTTGACAAATATATCTTTACATTTTTTTATGAATACAGTGTTCAGAATATGTATATATCAGATGCAGAGTTCATTTTTTATTTTCGAATTTGCACCTGACTAGGTAAAATAAAATGTTCAATAAGCTGTTACATACCTGTAATTTAGTTTAATTACATTTAAGCATACATAAATGGATAGTTCAAGCTCTAAGGTTTACAGAGATACCAAATATGTCTATGTTTCAATAAATTTCAGAGTGTGAAATGATTTATAATCACTTGTGGACATTCGTTTTCTTTTATACAGTTATGCTCTATGGGCAGCCCTAGTAATGCATGTATGTGTAGTTCCTAATAGGCGTCCAAGGGCGATAAATTCATTGGCATAGATAGTACTCATACTACTCTACCGATATTATAATAGATCCATGCTCATACACGCGGGACCTGTGGGCGCTGTCGAGTAGTGACGTCCACTACCCGACACGCCCACTACTCGACAAGCCTCCGACTGCAGGCCGGACAGATACACTTGAAAAAGTCTTTAAAACTCTTAAAACGATCTATCCCTCAATTTAAGACAAATGTTTTGCCTAATTTCCAGCATTTTTACGGGCTTATCTTTCTCATCACTTTTCACCTTATGTTTGTCTCTGGCCCCTCTCAGAACGCTACGGGGTCGAATCTTCCGATCTGAGACATCTAGCTAGACCCCGCCCCCCCTTGTCAATCAGCACAAACCACAAAAACAACCCAATATTATTTATAAATGACTTTATGCCAAGTGAGAATCGGACTTTGTGGACACATTACTAACAGCGCTAGCCGTACAGAGAACCGTCAATAATGATCTTTAGAAAGAAAAACACAATCCTAGAAGAAGAAACAACACCCAAGGATCCTTGGCGCACAAACCCCAACATGGAGAAACAAGGCTTTCCTGGTTATCAGCAGAAAATGGAGTAAAATATATATCAAAACTCCCAGACATTTTTTTCCCCCTTTAATCTGCATCGTAGAGAGGGGAGGAGGAGGGACTTCTGTTTTAAAAATGACGTATATTCAAAGTGGTAACCATAGGCAACGGTGGATCCTTCCATTCAGTCGTCAAAAAACGCATATAAAAATATTTTTTTTTAAACCCCAGGGCCAATGCAGGGTTTGAACGGGCACGCGGGAAAGGTGAGATTTATGAGCCTTTGAAAGTGAAAGTAAAGTAATTAACACGCTCATGCTTTTGTAACTGTGCTAAAAGTTTGATTTCATACAATTTATACAAAATAAAAAACTGAAAAGTTAATGAGATTCGAACTTGAACCTCATTGAAACTAATATCTGATATTTGATGTTTTTTATGTTAAGATGTTGTTTTAGGTGAGAATTACTATTTTCATGTTTAGTCCGAGAGAGACCAGAGAGACCAGAGAGGAGCCCAGAGAGAGAGACAGAGAGAGACCAGAGAGAGACCAGAGAGAGACCAGAGAGAGGCAGAGAGAGAGAGGCCAGAGGAGAGGCAGAGAGAGAGGCCAGAGAGAGACCAGAGAGGAGGACCAGAGAGAGACCAGGAGTGAGACCAGATGAGAGAGACCAGAGCCAGAGACCAGACGAGAGACCAGAGAGAGGCCAGAGAGAGAGGCGAGAGAGGACCAGAGAGAGGCAGAGAGGAGACCAGAGGAGACCAGAGGAGAGAGGCCAGAGAGACCAGAGAGAGACCAGAGAGAGGCCTGAGAGATGAGACCAGAGATACACCAGGGTTGTCATCAGAGAGAGAGGCCCCGAGGAGACCAGTGAGAGACCAGAGAGAGCCAGTGCGGACCGAGAGAGAGCCCAGAGAGACACAGAGAGACACCGAGTGAGAGACCAGTGAGATGTAGGACTAGGGAGAGAGACCAGAGAGAGACCAGAGATGAGACCGAGACGAGGACCAGAGAGAGAGACCAGAGAGAGGAAGAGACCAGAGAGAGACCAGAGGAGAGACCAGAGAAGACCAGAGAGAGAACCAGAGAGAGACCAGAAAGAGACCAGAGAGAGACCAGAGAGAGACAGCGAGAGACCACTGTGTCCTGTTTGATTTTCTGATCCCGTGTCGACGAATCGTCAACTTGGGTAAAGTCTTTGACGAGGCTAAAAAAACTAGAATAGACTTGTTGTGATGAAAAACAGTTAAACCATTATTTTAGTAGAAACTTAAGCTGCTGAACCTACGTTTTGTTTCGAGCTGAAAATGTTGTTTGGTCCGCGATAGAAAAAGTTGTGAGGAAATGTGTTTATTGTGGATAAATCCGAGTCATCTCCCCAGGTCATGTGCTTGACGTGATCCAACAGTCCCTGTGAGTCACTATTTGACCTTTGGGCTCAGACAGAAAATAAGTATTAGTTTTTTACATGAGCTTTGAAAATAGAGGACACAGCCATGCTTTAAGTCTCGCACCAAATGTTACTGCTATAAAGGAACCACGTGGAATACTCTGAGGAGCACTGGGACTGGCCCTCCTGCTGTCGACTCTAGGAGCACAGGGACTGGCCTCCTGCGGGACTCTGAGGAGGCACAGGGAATGGCCTCATGCTGGGACTTGAGGAGCACAGGGGTACTGGCCTCATGCTAGACTGAGGAGCACAGGGACTGGGACTCCCTGCTTGGGACATAGGGCACAGGGATGGCCTCCTTTGCTAAGACTCTGAGGAGCACAGGGACTGGCCTCTGCTAAGACTCTGAGGAGCACAGGGACTGGACTCATGCTGGGACTCTGAGGAGCACGGGATGGCCTCTCCTGCTCAGACTGAGGAGCAACAGCGGACTGGCCTCCTGCTTGGACTCTGTTGAGCACAGGGACTGGCCCTCCTGTGGGTAGGATCTGAGGAAGACAGGGATGGTCTCCTGCTGGACTGAGGAGCACAGGGCCTGGTCATCTGCTGGGACTTGAGGAGCACAGGGACAGGCCTCTGCTAAGACTTGAGGAGCACAGGGATGGCCTCTGCTGGGACTCTTGAGGAGCACCAGGGATGGGCTTCCTGTGGGGGACTGAGGAGCCACAGGGACTGGCCTCCTGCTGGGGACGTGAGGGCACAGGACTGGCTCCTGCTGGGACTGAGAGCACAGGGATTCTGGTCTCCTGCTGGGACTGAGGAGCACTGGGGACTGGTCTCCTGCTGGGATTGAGGTGCACAGGGGATGGCCTCTGCTCGGGGACCGTGGACGCACCAGGGACCTGGCCTCCTGATGGGACTATGAGGAGCACAGGGACTGGCCTCCTGCTGGGACTTCTGAGGAGCACCAGGGGACTGGCCTCTGCTGGGGACTCTGAGGAGCACATGGGGTCTGGTCTCCTGCTGGTCCCAGAGTGGAATAAACATGGGGATAGGCAGTGTTTCAGATTTATGCAGCTATCAAAAACAGTCCTTCCTGAAAACGTGAGACGGGCAATATTCAAATCCAGGTTTAAAAACAGATTTAATCCTGACTTTCTGATTTTAAAGGCCTAGTTCTTGTGAGTTGCCGTGGTGGACCCGGGGTGTGCTATACCCATAACCTTGCTAATGCTAAAGGGTTATGAACATATGACATCAGTGACTTTTCGCGTGGCCTGCACCAGCATTTTGGTGTTACAATTTGAGTAACTTCTGAACCATCAAACGCAGATAAAAATTAATATGTACATGTAGATACGGATTACAGGTGTAAAAAAATAACAAGAATACAGATTACATACAGGTGAACAGAACATGAAAGAACCATATGAACAGAACCATGAAACAGAACATGAACACGCTCAGAGCAGAGGAGTCATTTTCTGTGTCGTTCCTAAAAACACATAGTTCACTCATCTGGTCCACAAAGCAGTGCCATCACCACCTGGACGGCGTTGCTCC